GCTCCCTCAGGGACACGGTCCGAGGGTCCAGGCAGCGCTCCCGCAGGGACTCGCTCTGAGGATTCGGCTCTTTCTCCACGGCACCTCTGACACTCACACCTGTCACAGGACGGTACATACGGCCCTTAGAGCCACTGCGGTTCCATCATCCTCGTTTGGAGCACTAGGATTGTGTCCATTTTCCGGAAGGGAATAATTACTACACYAAGGGAATATGGTATATTCAGGCAGTTCTGGGTTTTTCTAAATCTAACTTCAGCAGTTGGATCCTGTGGTGCGCTAAGTCAAATACATTGTTCCAAAAAATAAATCATAGAACAGTGGAATGGTTTGGGATGGAAGGGACATTAAAACTCATCCACTGCCACTCCCTGCCATGGGCAGGGACACCTTCCACTGTCCCAGGCTGCTCCAAGCCCCATCCAACCTGGCCTTGGACACTGCCAGGGATCCAGGGGCAGCCACAGCTTCTCTGGGCACCCTGTGCCAGAACCTCCCTACCCTCACAGGAAGGAATTCCTTCCCAATATCCCATCCATCCCTGCCCTCTGGCATTTGGAAGCTATTCGCCCTTGTCCTATCACGTTGTCAAAGTCCCTCCCCAACTTTCTTCAGGCAACTGATTCCATAAATGATATGGTACAAGGGCAGGTATCAGACCTGTGCCTGGGGGTTCAGGGCTATGGAGCCACAAACTCGAGGCCTTATTGGAATASGAGAAACAATGTTTCCAGAGTCCTACAGCCAGTGGATTATGCCTCAGTTTTCCCAGGATAAGTGCATCTGGTACAGGCAAGTGTGCTGCTGTCTCAGGTATCTTGCAGGTGCGAAAATGTACTTGCATGTCACAAATTAACCAGAAATGCACTACCCAGTACATTGAAAAATCTTAGCTGATGCCTCCCCTTTCATTTGCCCATGGAGAGCTGCAGGTGTCGTGCTTATGTTTCCAGCTGGAAACAAGCCGTCCAAGTGGAACTCCAGGGTGGCCTAAATGTGGTTTTCATGATCTAAACTCAGCTCTGCATAAAGCATGAGTAGAGTGTTCTGGGAGTTCAGCCAGGATCATGCCTGGTCTTTTGCTCAATCACCTTCCCCTTTTCACAGGGATCATCATGTCCTGGTAGAATCCAGGAGGCTTCCACCCAGTTTCCAAACTCACCCTGTCTTTTCCATAGCTTACAAGAGAGGCTGGGATCACAGTGTGATAAAATACACACGCCAAAAGCCACCTTTGGAAATCCACAGGGAACAGAAACCTCTTCTAAAATGGAATGAAAAACAAAACAGTATTTAAAAACAGAACAGAGTTTCCTTTCCATATAGTGCATTTACTTTGCAGTTTACTTTCCTCATTAATGCAGCCCCTTCCCCCTCACTGAGGTTAAGTATCAGTGGAGTACAAGTGACTTGTTTTTCCAGAACTGTTCACAGAGGAAAGGGTGGCATTGCCAGAATTCCAGTGTTTGTTTTGCAGTGACACATGATTTCCCCACTAATGGAGATAACTACCTGCTGTAAAAGATAACCAGTCTCCATTCCAGCTGTGTCACAAACATATTCATGTTCCCAAAATGCAGGGTCTAAGGTACATGTGTGCGCAGGGGCTGGGTAAACACCTGTGACAACATTGGGCTGAATGAATCTCAGCAGCTCAGCTTTGGTATGAAGACACAACCCCAACCCTAAATTAAGTCTTAGTCTAACTCATGCTCTAAGTCAGAKTATCTCTGTTTTTCCACTCAGTGGAGGTCAGCCGGCAGGTATTTTTTTCTGTTATCAGAGTGAATATCATGAGAGGAATGTGCATGCTGATGTCTAGATCTAACACTAATTCCAACCCTGTCTTGAACCTGAAGTTCAGCCCAGCTCTGAAAATTTGGGTGTGAACACAATTAACAAGTGTTTAAYSYTTTTCCTGTAATTTGAAAAATTTAYGTTATGAAAAAAAYCTTGTCTAATAATTACTAATTTGAATCTGTCTGTGGTTATCAGCCATATACTCTGGCTCTGCTGTCTACCTTCTTCCTCTTCTATGTCCTGGGTGAAAACAAAAAAAAATTATTTCTATAACCTAAACCTGTACCTGCCTGGAAAGGTGTCTAAGYCAATACAAACCATTCAGGAGAAATTATCTTTGGGAAGTTGAGTAAAAATTTCCTAGGTCACTTCTTTTACCTTCACTCCTTCCTGAGGGATTTTTTGGGTTGGGAGAAAATGAATAAAGCAGATAAAAAGCAACTGGTGAGGTTAAAAGGCAACAACTGCAAGAAGGGTGCAGAGTTTGGAGTGGTCAAGGAGAAAGGAGCAGTTTTTAGGTGTCTTTTCATGCAGAGAGATGGAATGAGAATATATTTAAGGTCCTTTTCACCCCAAAGTATTCCCTGATTCTGTAATCCTGTGGCATTCTCCCTTTAGAGAGGAAGGTTGGAAGGCTTGGTGTAAGGTTTCTGGGGAACAGCCCACATTAGATGAGGTAAAGCAGGTGTACAGTTCATGCCACTGCACGTACTAAACAATAACATTAATTCCATCTTTCAGAGCAAGGAGATCATTAGAGGAACTTTAGGGCCAGTCCAAACTCCAAACAGGGCATAGCCTGGGGGCATCCTAGCAGCACCAGACCAGGCCATGGGCTCAGTGCTGGGCCACCTGCAGTGGCATTTCAGGCCACCTGGAACTGCTTCCAAATGGAGGTCATTCTGCAGCCAGCTCTTTCCATCCCTGCTGTGGCAGGGGTTGTGYTTCAGAAATTGAGCAAACAGGAGAACAAACATAAGAAGCAAATTGCCTTACTGTTAAAAATGGCCATCATTTATCCATGATGATACAGCACAGCGCCAGTGCTCTGAACCTTTTRGAGTCATGTTGGCTTTGTGAGCTCTTAGCCCATATCCTGCAGTGCAGGTGTGATTCGGGCAAATACTTGCTAATGGGATGGTATTTTCTCAGTACAATTTTCTTTAAAATTCAGGTTTAAAAATGTTTGTCCTACATATAWCATGTAGCAATAAGATTAACCAGGGTAGCAGCAGGTTTTTGTGAGGTTTGCTCAAGACATTTGAATTGGAGACTTCTGGGAGGAGTGAGGTTCCAATATTGAGAGGGATTTTGGCTGCTCTGTCTCTGTTTATTGCACTCACAACAGTTCATTGAGRGCAGGAGGACTGGGGATGGAGCTTAAATAGACTATTTCTAGGATAAACTACAAACAGCGTTTCCAAACTTTATAAAATGGTCAGGAAGAAAAGACAAGAAAAGCCTTTTGAAAAACATAACAGCCATTCAATACATATGAAATATTTTACAGGCAGAAATCAGTACTCTCTGAAAATGGATTTCTCTCAAGTGCATCCCTGTTTTTAGAGCCTCAGCCAGAAGTGATGACTGCACCTTATTTATCTTTCTCCAACTAAGTGCTCTGAAGATTACATAGGTCAAAAGAACTTTTATTGCAATTCTACCTTCATAAACTAAAAGTCATTGCATCCAYAAAGCTGACACACTTGTAACCTTAAGCAACTTGATAACCTGCCAGAGAATACAGCTGTATGGACTTGGGGTAGCTGCAATAATCTCTCAGTCCCTCATTCCATTGCAGCCAGGATTTTTGCATTTTATTCAAGGAAGTAAATAGAAAAGCAATTTGCATTTTGCATTAAAATGATATGCAGCAGGAGCTGTCAGGTGAGGTAGGAGGGACTGAAACCAGGCGTGCCGAAAAGATGAGATCTCCTACAGGCTGGGATGGATGTGTGTCTGCCATGGTGGGGTGGATGTGTAAAAGCAGGACAGGGATGTGGACAGTGGGACTTTTCTTGAGGAGACCTTGGCTCCCCAGGGAATGGTCCCGGCCCCGAGGCTTCCAGAGATCCAGGGGCATTTGGACAATGCTCCCAGACATGCCCAGGGTGGGATTGGTGGGGTGTCTGTGCTGGGCCAGGAGTTGGGCTCATGATCCTTGTGAACCCTTGCCAACCCAGAAGATTCTATGATTCTATGCTTTCTCAGCAGAAAAAGAGGCATTCTGAGCAGAATCTTTGAGCAAAAATTCCAGGCTTCATTTTGTTGTGGAACCAGTCTGCCCACACTTGTAGTTAGTTATATGTTTTAAAAGAGAACAATGGCTTCACTGTTAACACATACTTGCTGTTTGGCAATATGGAGAGTAACACTGGAAATGCAACATCTGACATCTGGCTTTGTCAGAGGGGGCAGAGAAACATCACTGGAATAGGAGCATACCATTCAGATAGGTGGCCACAGCAGTCTGCAGAGAGAATCACGGAATCATGGAATGTCCTGGGTGATCATCCAGTCCARCCCCTGKCCCTGCMCARACCCCCCAACAATCCCACCCTGTGCATCCCTGGCAGCGCTGTCCAAACKCTCCTGGAGCTGTGGCAGCCTCGGGGCCGGGACCATTCCCTGGGGAGCCTGGGCAGTGCCAGCACCCTCTGGGGACAGAAGAACCTTTCCCTGAKMTCCARCCTGACACCCCCACACCGACACAGCTCCTGCCATTCCCTGCGTCCTTCAGCATCCTTCACTTGTGTATTTATCCCTATTTGTAGTGAAGAAACATCATTTGTTCAACCTCTAATCGGATCAGTACAACTAACTTGGTTTTAAACTTTGCCACAACTTAGTGATTTTTCCGATGTGGTATTCAGTCACTTCCATGGGGCCCTGCCAAGATAATGTGGCAAATGTTTCTGTCTGGAGGCTTCTGTTTGCTCTGTATTTCCATCAGGAAACAGGGAACAGCAAGCTGAAAACAGCTGGAAATTGGTTATTAGGGGCATGTCTGAGAACACAGCAGGATGCAGATGTTGAAGGAATTAAGTACCTGGTAGGCACTGGTGCTATCTACTGGTAGGATCGGGGATTGAGACAACAAGCTGAGGGATATCACAGAAATACGTAGCGTATTAACTCAGATCCAGARAAGATCTAGTTAGAATTTAGCTGAATTCGAACTAAAGAAAAGCACACGCATTGGCTGGTAATGGGGCTGCACTGAAATCACCAGACTGCGCGATACTCTAAAATTTAYCAGAAAACCCCACACWGCAGACAAGTGTCCGGTACCGCGGWAATTAAYAAACCCCTCCCTGTYGCTGAAATGGATTCACCGCTCTCGGGTCAYTGTCCCCGTCCCGCCTCTGCCGGGTCCCCTCAGAGCGCGGCACCTCCGGCCCGCCAGGGGGCGCGCTTCCCGCGCCTTTCCCGCCTGGCCGGCTCTAAGATGGCGGCGCCGGGCTGGTGGCTGTGGCCGGGGCTAGGGCCGGCAGTGACGGGCGCGSTGGCGGCTCTGCTGTTCCTGCTGCTGTGGCGGCGGCGGTGCGCGGGCGGCGCGGGCCGGGTGTGCGTGGCCGTGCTGGGGGACCTGGGCCGCAGCCCGCGGATGCAGTACCACGCGCTGGCGCTGGCGCGACACGGGCGCGAGGTCGCTCTGCTGGGCTACCTCCGTGAGTGAGGGGCGGCCGGGGGAASGCGGGGCCGGGCGGGGCGGCCGCGCCGCTGACCGCGCTCTCCCCCCGCAGAGAACCGGCCGCACCGGGACGTGCTGCGCAGCGAGAACATCCGGCTCGTGCCCGTGGCGGAGCTGCGAGGGCTGCGAGGTACGCGCGGGCCCGGCCGGGGGACGGAGGGAGCGTGGGACGGTAAAAAGAGCCCGGCGGCCCAGCCCCGCCGCACGCCGAGCTCCACGCTCTTGTATCCCTTTCTCTGTTAAACGAGAGCCGCTGGAATTAAACACGTGCTGCTACATTGGTGCTGCTCACATGCAGAGTGAAATGTGGAAGTATTTACATTCTACCTCTTCCTCCCTCACCTTGTGTTTGCCCCTGTTGTCCAGGGAAGCTGTGGCTGCCTGGAACTGTCCAAGCCTTGCACAACCTGGGGAAGTGCAAGGTGTCCCTGCCCAAGGCAGGGAGTGGAATGAGATGAKCCTTAAGATCCCTTCCAACCCAAACCATTCCATGATTGTGTTTCTTCCCATACGGAATACAGAAGAGAATTTGTAGGGATCATGAGATGTTTACTTWGCTTTATAGTGATCACAGAATATAATCACAGAATCATAAAGGTTGGAAAAGCCCTCTAAGATCACTGAGTTCAACCATTCCCCCAGCACTGCCAAGGCCACCAGTAAGCCATGTCCCTAGTGCCACATCCACTTTTAAATSCCTCCAGGGATAGTGACTCCACCATTGCCCTGGGCAGCCCCTTCCAAGGCCTGACCACCCTTTCCATAAAGGAATTTTCTCAATAGCTGAACTAAACCTTCCCTGGCACAACTTGGGTTCATTTCCACTCATCCTATCCCTGTTCCCTGGGAGCAGAGTTTGACTCCCCCGGCTGCTCCCTCCTGTTCAGAGCCACAAGGTCCCCCTGAGCCTCCTTTGCTCCAGGCTGAGCCCCTTTCCCAGCTCCCTCAGCTGCTCTTGGGGCTCCAGCCCCTTCCCCAGCTCTGTTCCCTTCCCTGGACACGCTGCAGCCCCTCAARGTCTGCCTTGGAGTGATCCAGCCCGTCCAAATCCCTCTGCAGATCCTTCCTATCTTCAAGCAGATCGACACTCCCACCCATTTGGTGCCATCTGCAAACTTGCTGAGAGTGCACTCARTCACTTATCCGGGTCATTGGTAATATTAATARAGAGGTTTGCATTTTCATGTTATTTTGACCCTGTCTCTGCAGAGCTGGCTGGTTCTGTTACAATRTTCACATTTCTGTGGGGAGAGCTGTAATATTCTTGCCTGTTTTTCTCTCCCTTTGCAGTGGGTCCAAAGCTTTTCCTGTATGTCCTGAAGGTCGTAGTGCAGTCGGTGCAGTTACTGTACACCTTGCTGAGGATAGATCAGCCATCCTATATTCTTCTTCAGGTATGTTTTGTGTTGAGACTAATTTCAATAAAAATAAATAGTGCTACATTACARGACATTTTTAGCCGTCTCAGACATTGTTCTAATTATTTCAGAGCTGAACTGGCCCCAACAATGGTGTAAACCTGTATCCAGGTACTTTTTAGCTCTAAACTTTGATTTGTCTGCTAACAACTGACAAATTCCCTTGCTGTTAATTGTTGTGCTTTAAAATTCATTGTCATGGGTAGTAGCAAAGAATAAATCTTATTAGAAATGTTAAGGTGTTTATTGGAGGGAAATTTTGATCTTTATCCTAGGGTTAAATTTGAAGTGCCTACCAGTCCTTATAGGTAAATACAAACAACTTCTGTTCATGAAGCTCCTTTAAAGTGATAAAATTTCAAATTTTTTTTTTGGTAGTTGCTTTGTGTTTGTCACTTGGTCACAATCTTATGCTATTTTTGTTTTGTTTTTGAGCAGAATCCCCCAGGCTTACCCAGTATAGCTGTTGCATGGGTGGCAGGACTGTTCTGGGGGAGCAAACTCATCATTGATTGGCACAACTATGGATACAGCATCATGAGCCTGAGTCATGGGAGGAACCACCCGCTAGTCCTGATTGCAAAATGGTTTGTACAGTCATTTCTGCTCTTTATAAATGACATGCCTTRGTGGAATTCAGAATGGAAACCAGTGGGGAGAATATAATTGGCACAGGGAGGGATTTCTGGGCTTTGCTGCATTAAACTGGWTTCTGTTTTGCAGCTACCTTTGTAGAACACGTGGGAGGGGGCTTGGATGAGATAGGCAGGTTGCTTTTATGTGCATATGGAAAYGTTGATCTTGTTACTGGAATTTCTTTATATGGAATGTCTTTATATGGGTTTTTTTTTAAATTCTATAATGCTTTACACTCCAATTCTTCTTTAAACAGCTCCTTGCTGATTGTAATTGGTTATGTGTAGTTAAAGGCTTTGGAGAGCAGGAGTCCATCAAAAACTGGCAATCAAATTTTAGTTATGGGGCAATTGAGTTTCTTTGAGTTTTTTTTTTTGCTTTTACCAAGCATGGGACAGTTGCTGCAATTGCCTGCCTGTGGTTTCTAACTGACATTTCATTTTTGTCAGGTATGAAAAGCTTTTTGGGCGCTTGTCTGACTATAACCTGTGTGTGACTGATGCCATGAAAGAGGATCTCTGGGTGAATTTCAAGATAAAGTAAGTCACGTGCCTCAGACAATTTAGTGTGAGTGTGCACAATAAAATGAAAGAGCAGGTCCCTGAGGATTCAGGATTCAGAGGGATCTGACTGAGCTCCCCTGGGCCCATCCRTCACCACTCATACATACAAGCTCAGTTTTGTGATGAGCCTGTGGAGTGTGGGCATTCAGGAATCTTTGTTATCCTGACATCCCATTGACTGAGGTGGCAGTCCAAGAGTTATGGAAGTTTGCTGCAGGCTGCCTGTGTAGTCAGAACGGGACAGACATCACTAGGATTTGAACAATTAGTCTGGCCTACCAGCTTTTCTATTGCAGTCGGAGGGCTTTAAGATCGGAGTTGATCAGGGGCAGTTATAGAGTAAGTTTAAAATCAGGACAGTGATGTTTGCAGTTTTTCCAGGTGCAGTTCACCCTTAGAATATGCACACAAGTTGGGGGTTCTTTTTCACGTGTATCCATCCTGGTGTGTTCCAGTAAACTTCAGGAACACAGAAGGTTGTAAGAGTAAAAAAATTAATTACTTTGCCCTATTGATTTRGTTAATTTCTTTGTGATTACATTGKTGCAGCCTGCCSCTGTACCATGTGCATGTTGTTACATCTGTATCTTGCTTAAGTTGCACATTTATTTCCTCCCAGGGCTGTAACYTTGTATGACAAACCAGCATCTTATTTCAAGGAAACACCATTAGACCTCCAACACAATTTGTACATGAAACTTGCCAAGGACTATGAGCCTTTCAAACCACGGTATGTGAAGCTGCCCTTACAGTTCTTAACCAAGGGACATGGAGTTGTGGCACTTAGAAATACTTSTGTGGGGGGTCAGAACCAGGCACAGGGGGCTCTGAGTTGCCTTATTTGTCACTGAAAGAGGCCAGAAGTTAAATGGTTGAACTGTGGTGACACAAGTAATAGAAGTGTTTTGTTTTTGAAGAAGTTGGCCTAAATTTGTGATGAGTATCTAGGGTGGAACCCTGCCGTGTCTGCTTCCCACTGACCCAGATGCTTCCTTAATAGCATCCCTTCCTTAATTACTGTGGAGAGCCTTCAGGATCTTGGCCCAAGTGTTAAACACTGCCCTCTGGTTGTGTGCAGGATGACACCAGGCAGTTACTTCACCAAACTGATGCTTGAAAAAGAAGTGAAACCCTTAATGCCTAGTGGGGGTTTTTGGAAAATGCCCTGCTCGGAATGTGTAGGTTCTGAGTTTAACTGAATAAATGTGCTGTTGGCYTCCATGCTGTGCTTTGTGTGAGACAGACATGGAAAGGAGACTGACTCTGCTTAACTTGTTAAGGAAAACATTTGGTTGGAAAGAGGAATTGTACCTATAGCAGCAGGRAAGAGGGAAAAATGGCCTGTCCTGTCCTGGTATTTCTGTGATGTAATGACTCTGTTTGTAGACAAGTTGAGCAGCAAATCTGAAGCCAAATGTGTGGAAATCCATGCTAGTTAAGCAGAGCTGTTGCTCCCTTCTGTYGCTGGCTGTGTGTGTAGCCCATGCTCAGGAAGTTGTGTTTCCATAGTACAGAGCTGTCAATCCCAGTGCCGAGAGATCGGCCTTCACGGAGAGGGATGGCAAAGGTGGGGATGTGGTGAAGATCAGAGGCCGGCCAGCCCTTCTCATCAGCAGCACCAGCTGGACAGGTTGGCAATCAGTTTATTTTTCATATTAAATAGGGCTCTTTGTATTTCCTCACATTGAAGTTATGTWTGTCTTTTGTTTTCCTGCAAGAATTTGAAGACAAGGTGTGTCTGATACAACTAAATGTTGTATATCKTGGTTKGAAAGACAGGTGCTTGCCAGTGAAGGCAGGGACCCCCCTTGGAGTGGTGGATATGATCCCCCCCTTCCCTCTGAATTATTACAGCTTTGAAAATCACGGGCTTTCAGGCAAGAATATATTAAAAAAAAAACCTGCCAGACAGGAGGAGTGCCCAGGGAGATCCTTTGGGTGGGGCTAGGTTCTATCCTCTTAATCCCCTAGCCATCAAAAGGATGACTTGGCAATCAGTGTATCCCAGCAACAAAATGGGAAAGAAAAATTCCCCAAGAAAGGAAACAAAAGGAGAAACCTTAACCCACAACATTATACAACATATAAWGCTACAAAKCAATGKTTTTTTAAAAGTGATGTTTTAATTACAGAGCTACAGTTTACAGGCTCAGCTTTAAGAATCATTAAAAGAGATTTCCTACTTTTTTTAACTTTTCATTCTAGACATACTGTCTTGCATGGTGGGGTAAAATGGATGAAGAAACTCAAGTATTTACTCCTTGTTGAGCACCCTGCTCTAGTGGAAAGTGTTGGGGTGGTGGGRTTGGGATAAGATGAGCTTTAWGGTCTTATCCAACCCAAACCAGTCTGTGATGCCATGATTTCTGATAATGTGATGTAATTGTCACTTCTTCCCCTCTGTATGAAGAAGGAAACAGAGATTGGAAACAAATCCATTGCTAGTATGKAAACAAATCCATGGGTAGGATTGTCTATCTTTGAATTATCAGGGCAATTTTTACATTTAATTTTCAGTTTTACAAACTAGAAAATTTTACCTTGATAGCTTTGAAGATGTGCAGTATTTGTGGCTGATTTGTCTGTCCTGCTGCTGAACAAGGGAAATAAATAAATATWATGTATGGTTGTGAACTTTTATTTATGAATGTAAACTAGGGGATTTTTAATAGTACATTTTAGTAAATAGTAATTTTTAACTACAGACTGTGCACTTAACTTCTAAGTACGTGCTTTGTACTTAAATCATATAGGTGAAGGTGAGGATAATCTAGATTTTTTATTTAAAAACAAAAATGATAAATGATAGAAATATGAATGTCACTAATGAAGCCTTCTCTTTYAGAGGATGAAGACTTCTCAGTCCTTTTAAGAGCTTTAGAAGGTTGGTATGAAGGAGTTGATCTCACTTAGTCAAAGAGGTCTTCTGGACATTTAAGAAGGATTTTGCTAAAGGACAATGAATGCTTCTCTATTCAGGTGAAAATGCAGTTGCATTTGATTAATTGGCAGTAATTTCAGAGTAGTAATTGAAATACAGTGCAACATCTGAGTTCAATTAGAGGAGCTGGCAGGGAGAATTAAATCTCTAACTGGCTCTTAAACTGCAGTTTTCTTTTCTGAGCTATTACACCTACTCTCCATAGGCATCTGCTAATAGGAAGGGAGGGATRCTTTATCTTATCTTGTAGACTTTGCAGCTGCAATTCTGAATTGATCKATTGAAGCAGCTGATTGGGGAGCAGTTGAAGGAATGCTTTATGCCTAGTGCATAAACAGCCTCATTTATTTCTGTGGAAGCTTGTAAATGTTAACATTGCTGAATTTACTGCTGCGTTATCAAGTGCATGTAAGGAAATTGCTTGTAGTGGCAAGCTCAGTAATTAATACACTGTCACCACTCTTAAAACAAGCACCCACATATTTGTCAGCTCATCCAATGTTTTGTCTTCTCCAGATTATGAGAGGTTTATCAAGGAGGGAGCCAAGCTTCCAGCTTTGGTGTGTGTGATAACAGGTAAAAATATTTGTGTTAGAATTTTCTCAGTGCTCACACTGAAGGTTTAATTGTCACTTTTGTTCTTTGCTGTCTTTCCTGTTGCTGGGGAGGAGAGAAGGGACTGTTATCTGTATGTTTGGTTATAACAATAGTGATTTATAGCTGAACTATTGCACCATTTACTAAGGGCGTATCTTTAAATAGCCTCCCTTTCTATCTGCATGAAAAACAATTTAAGGTCAATGCTGAGATGATGCTGCAAAAGAAATGTCMGAGGAGGCAGCCTCAAGCTGTGTTAAGGGAGACTTAGGTTGGATATTGGGAATATTCCTTCCTGGAAAGGGTGGTCAGGCCCTGGCACAGCTGCCCAGGCCGTGGTGGAATCCCCATCCCTGGGGGGATTTAAAGCCATGTGGATGTGGCACTTGGGGACAGGGGTCAGTGGTGGCCTTGGCAGTGCTGGGGAATACTTGGGCTTGATCTCAGAGGGCTTTTCCACCTTAAAAATCCCATTATTCTACATTGATGGAAAACTCATTGCAATACTGAGTAAGAGAAGTCCAGGTGCACTTTGCTTTCAAGGGAACTTAGATTCCTCACATCTTTTTGAGGCTACCACATGCATAGTATCCTGTTTGTGCACCTGACCCAACAGGAGTTGTATTTCACAGGCCTCACTGTTTGCAGTCATCTTGATAAAACTTTTTTTTTTCTTTTCTATTTTAAACAGGTAAAGGACCTCTAAAAGATTACTACAATGGTCTGATCCAAAAACTGCATTTCAAGCATATCCAGATCTGYACTCCATGGCTGGAAGCTGAGGATTACCCTCTTCTGCTTGGTAAATAGTGGATGAGGAAAYAGGGTGGAGGATGTGTGGGAAACAGCTTGGCACAGTTCAGGGAGCTGATGCAGACTGCATAGAAGCTGGGAGAATATAGTCAGGAGTGCTGCTGGTTAGTGATGGGATATTCATGGATTGGACTCATTCCAGCAAAGTTGCTAAATTCCTCTGGCTAGCTCTTCCCTGTTTTCCCAAGAATCAGGTATAGTACCTGTGTTGCTGTTTTAGCCTGGGTTTTGCMTGCTTTTTTCCTTCTGAAATACAGGTGCCTGTGCATGTTCTACTTTAMTTTCAGGGTCACTCCAGTAAAGGATCTCAAAAAGCTGTTGGCTGAGCAACCTAAAGTAGCTGAAATTCTAAGTTAACATCTCATTGGATTGTTATTCCCTCAGCATCATCATTGTAATAGCATTAAGTGGGAGTAATAAAGTAATAAAATACATATTCAATGTGATCTTCATTCTGCAGGGTTACAGCCTGACAATTTATGTGGCTAAAAAACACTTTATTTTGTCCTTTTCAAATAATGAATGTAACATCTGTAAAATCACACTGTAATTCCTCTATTTTGAGCTGACTTCAGCTGGGAGAGGTCACTAGTGAGCCATGCAGTGTATCCTGTTTGGATTGTGATGGGGTTTTCCTTTACATTTTCAACAGATTAGGAGGCAGAAAGACTGTTTTCAAAGATACATAAAATTTCAAAATCCCCTTTTAATTTAACATGCACTCACTTATTACTTTTCTAAAACATGACTAATTTGAGTCACAAAACATCCTGTGCTTTATTTTTTTCCCCTGATGAAATTGTGTCAGTCTGGGTAGTTGAAAAGTTTCATTGCACCACCCAAAGCAGCATGGAAGTAAAGCAGAGCTGCTTTCAGAAAGTTCAGACTCTGCTGTGTTTGTTTTTCAGGCTCAGCCGATCTGGGGGTGTGTCTCCATAAATCCTCCAGTGGTTTGGATTTGCCCATGAAGGTGGTGGATATGTTTGGCTGCTGTTTACCTGTGTGTGCAATATATTTCAAATGGTAAGAGCTTATTCTGTTACAGCTCAAGGGAATCACTTAAAACAAAATTCTTACAAAATCAGAAGTCAGCAGCTACTGCTGATGAATGAGATTCCTGTAATATGCCATTTTTAAAATGCAGTGAGATAGAAACCAAAGTTGTTTTAAGTTAAAAAAGTAATACTRATTTGGAGCATTTAATGCAACCACTTGCCTTAATCCATTGTTCCCATAAATGTAATTTTAGAAAAGCTTCCTTCTGCATAATCTGTTCAGTGAGGGGCTGAGTTATCTTGGGATTCATGATCCTTTGGGAAAATAGTAGCTTTATAAAAGAAGAGAAATTCTCTGTGAAGATTTTATGATTGATCATGGACAGACTCCTTGTGGGTTAAAGTAGATTATTGCCCTGGTTTTTAATGGATGTCCAGATGAGTGGCACAGAGTGAAGGCTCTTTGGTACAGCYGTGGTAGATTTAGTCTGACACAGAAAGGAGAAGCAGTCTTCAAGATTTTAAACTGCTTACTTCATCCCATCATGTCAGGTGTGGACCTTCTGACATCTGAGATCACAGTGTTACAGATAATGCTGGTCTGGTCCCTTTGGATGTCACTGTGCACATTTTAAATGCAGCATTTTAAATGTCCCACTCACTGCTTTTGGTCTCAATTTTCCTTCTGTAACTTTTTTCAGTTTACATGAACTTGTGAAACACAATGAGAACGGTCTGATATTCAGAGACTCGAAGGAACTTGCAGAACAACTGAAGGTAAAGGCTCTGACTGATTCCTTTCTCCCAGAAATAACCCCAGARGTGCCACTATTTGAGCAACCTTTTCAAGTCTGAGCATTACCTGTGTGATTTGCATTCTCAGAAGGTGCTGCTCAGCCTGGTGAGCATTGTTTGCCTCACTTCTGTTTAAGTGTGAATCTGAAGCTGTCAAGAGCCTTTCAAATATTGTCTTTGTTCTCACTGTGGGGACAGACCCAAGAACTGCAGTTGCAGTTGAGGGTTAACACTCAGGAGGTTGGAATGAGCCCCAAATGGAACATTATGGTTATTTTTCTATGTTTTTGTTTTTTATATTTCAGATGCTTTTCTCAGAATTCCCTTMCCTGGAAGGGAAACTTCACAGCTTCAGGCAGAACCTGAGGAAGTCCCGGCAGCTGCGCTGGGATGAGAGCTGGGACCAGATTGTCCTTCCCCTGCTGGGGCACAAGGAGTGACTGGGGGCAAGGAGGGTGTCAAATACATTCCTGCAGCTGCACAGATTTGGGAAACAATGAATAAACATTTGTATTGTCTGCAGTTACACTTTCTGATTCCTTCATCTAGGGACAGGGGTTCTCACATTCTTCCCTTAAAATTTCAGCTTCCTGGGCAAGAGGTGCTGAAGGTGCAGCTGAGGCTCTGTTGTGTRGGAACCTGTGCTGCTTGAAGGTCCCTTTTTAGTGAAAATCCTTGAATACAGACAGAAACTATTAACTATTTTACCTCCTGTACAGTCAGCACTTTAGATTTGGGKGTGGGTTTTTTGGCAAATGCCAGATGCTTTTTACTTCTTTCAACTGGTCAAAAGTTGGACTCAATTATTTTGGAGGTCTTTTCCAACCTAAATGATTCGGTGATTTACCAGTTAATTGCCCAAGCACTGAATATCCTCYTGTATGGTTTTATTGAGACAGAACCATTTTGTTTCCAAGCTGTTTTWCCTTGTGACAGTGTGTGCAGGAGTGTGGCAGCACAGCACTGGTGTGTGACAGCTTTACTGAGCACTTAGAGGAAAGCAGAGCTTGCAGTGAGTGTTCTTCTTGTACTCTGAAATGAACGTGCCCATTTACCTTGGGAAAGAACATAAAATTTATCTCTTTTTGAGCAGACTAATAGAAAAGAGAAAAATAAACCTGAAATATATGACTGAGATGTGTATAACTTAATCACAGGGCACTTCACGTTGTGAGTGCTCACTCAGGTACAACCTTCAGCTTTTTTTTAAGCTTAGTAATCACATGCAGGCCTAATGCTTATGAGATTTTTTTTCCTCACCTTTTTGATGATAAAATAGATGTCAGTCCTTGAAGGAGTAAATGTGCTTGGTTTGAGTGTTTACTGCTCCTCAGAGCTCCTGACTCAGGGTGGGAGGTGAGGACAGTGGGTTCTCCCATCAGCAGCTTTGAACCCTCTGAGCAATCACTGGATATCTGCTTTTTTCAGAAGGAAAATAAGTAAAAATGAAGAGTCAAGGTACTTTACTGCAGCAATTTGATGAAACCTCCAGCTTTTTAACTGAAGAATGATCCATAAAGATTTATTTACCAATTTTTTACTTGTTCTATTCCTGTTTTCAGTCAAAATCCTGTCAGGAGTTTGGCCATTCCTGTGCACACGGAGGCAAATTAGGCACTTTTCTAATTAAACACTAATACCAAAAGCTTTAGAGAAGTTTCATCTTCCTAAAACAGAACTTTTTTGGATCCAGAATGAGCCATCTGTACAGAATCTTTGCCTGGAATTTTGTGKAAAGGAACATAAAGCAGCTCCTGTCTGGGCTGCCAGTTTGTGTTTACTGTAGAAATAACAGTTTTGAGTTCTTTCTTTCGGGGGACAGGGAGCCAAAACCTGGGCTGGGGTTAATTCTAATTGATCCCAGAAGTTCTGGCCTCCTTCAGCTCAAAAAGTAAGATTCTTCAGGTTTCAAGTTGCCTACCATCCATTATTACAGAAGGAGGAGGTTGAAGTATTTGTTCATTTCCTTTAAAGCAGCTTTTGAAAGAAAAGAAAGTTGAGAGAGCAGAATGAGCAGCACTTTGGTTTTTCTGCTTCAGGACYAATGCTGTCCAACAGGAGAATGATTAGTGGATGGATGATGGGAAGTTTCAGAGCAGGTGAGCTCAGCCCTTCCTCCTTGCAGGATACCTGGAGCACTGCTGTGGAATGTGATTCCTTTGCCATTCCCAGCCCAGCCTGAGGCCATGGATTCCCAGCAGCCACTGTGCAAGTGGCAGTCCTTGTGTGAGAGAAAGGGCCATCAGTTCTGATCTGTCATTGCTGCAGAGTAAAGATGCATCTGATTTACAGCACAGTCTGTCACCTGCTCCTACAGCAGAGTTCTGGGACACAGCTGCATCACTGCAGGTATTGGCCATGTTTATTGGGGTGTTTAAAGATAACCCAAACTGCAACTATACACAGACAAGGATTAAAGATCAGAGCAGACAMTTACAGCTGGTTTTAGCATCAAAACCCATTGATTACATTGAGAAACATTGTTTTGTTCCCTTGTGAGATCCTCATCCTGTGATCCTGCTGGTTGCCCCCAGTATTTACAAATCACAACACAGCTGGGGAAAAAAAAGAATTCTCTTGTCTCCTACAGAGTCCAAGTGCAGTGTGATTGAGGCCCTTTGTTTTCTGTTGCTTCACAGAGATTCACTCACTTCCTAGGGGCAGCAGCAGTCTTGGATCCACACTAGGAATTACAGGAACAACTCCACATGTCCATGTGTACAGTTGTATCCTCAGCACCTCCTGTGTGTTTCCAGAATTCAGGATACTCTTGTTACAAGGCTGAGATAGCTCCTGTTGGCCTCAAAATTCCAGTTCTGTCTGCYGAGCCTATATAAAGAGCTGTAGAATCATTACATCTGGCTGCACATCRTAGAGAAAATTACAGCTGCTCTGGGCTGGAATGATCTGCCACCTGATCCCCACTTTATCTGTGAACAGAAACAACGGGAATCATATTTATGCTTAAYAAAATGAAGAGGAAAACGTTGCATGACAAGTTCTGTTAAGAACAGATCTTTAGCATGCTCTCACCTACAGACAAATTCTTATGAGTGGTTTTAAAAAATCCCATTAATGCCTCTGCTGAGCACTCAGTGTCCCTCTGTGACTCAATCGACTCTGTGACTTAACCAGAACTTCACAGATTTCAYGGAATATCCTGAGTTAAAGGGACCCACAAGGATCATCRYGTCCAGTTGCTGAACACCAGCTGAGCAGCAGAGACTGCAAYAGATAGGCTTTGGAAGGATGTATGAAGAAAAATCTCCAAATCCCTATTTTATTTAATCTCTAGTTGGGGATTTTARCCCTCAAAGAACAGGTAAGATAAGATAAAGGGTTTAGGCCACATCTCAGGTGTTATCACTGTGACACTGCAGCAAAGATGGCTCCCTCTTTTAAGCCTAAACCTATTTTAGTTTCCTATTGGCACTACATTTACAAATCATCCCTTAYAGATGTGAGCTGTGATAGCCAGGATGTACCTAAAGGTGAGTTCCAATCTCCTGATCAAATCCATCTGGAAAAGCTCCTGCTCTTAAATCCAGCTGTGGGATAAGATCCTGCTATTGGACAACGCTCCTGCTCACCTCTACCACTGAACAAGTGATGGGGACAGAGGCAAAAAGGCAAAACTATTGAAAACTGGATGGAACAGGCACCCACCCAGCTCAGCCTGGAACAGCTGATACGTGTCTGGATTTCGGATTGTGAAGGCAATGAACACCTCAGGAGCTTTTCTGTCTGCTCTGGACGTGGAGAGTTTCTGTAGCATCCCAATGAGGGCTAAAATGATCTCTGGATCATACACCACATCTGCAAAAAAAAAAAAAAAAAAAAAAAAAAAAAAAAAAAAAAAAAAAAAAAAAAAAAAAAAAAAAAAAAAAAAAAAAAAAAGAAACATACAATATTTATTGAGAATTGAGCAAAAACCAGAATGAAAGCTGCAAAACAGAAATACAACCTTCAGAGTGCAGGAGAATATTGTTATTTTATGTGCTATGCCCTCATCACTAAAAATCAGTGCTTCTTTTTATAAATGGATTGTCAGATATTTTATTTAAGCCCATCCTAAGGGAGACAGCAGAATCACTGAGTGTTGGTGCTCTCTGTTCCCACTGCCCTTGGCAAAACCAACCTGCCTTGTCAGAAATGAGTGGTTTAGAGGCTGATGCCAAGGACTTGCAGCAGTTTTCATCTGGAGTCATTTCCTGGAGAACAGAGATGGTGATGAGAGGTCCAAGTGAGGACCAAGGAGGGGTGAAATGCTGGTACTCAGATGGGGTTGTTTCCTTCACAGAGGTGCCCAGGTGTGTACCACTGCAGGTACCTGTGGTGCAGTGCTAATGGCACATCCTGCTGTAATGAGTAACAGCAAATAGATGTGAWTCCTTTTCAGGCCTGTTCTTGTCTAAAGAGTCCAGCTTGGGCTGGTTTGGGCACTGAGCAGTGTCACTGGCATTAGGTACCATGCAGTACCCAATTCATTTTATAGAATTCACATTAATCCTGTAATACCTGGGATGACAGAAGTAAYTTTTTCATCTGGATTCTCAGGTTTTTCTTTGCAAAGCTCTAATTCAGGGTRTAAAACCCACAGCTGAGMCATTCTGCTCTTACTAGCTATCACWACTRTTGTTCTATTRTCACTAGATTTTCCACAATTAGATTTTTTATAAAATTCCCTCCAAATTTATRCACAGACAAGTCCAAAAAGGCCTGTAGTTGGGTTTATTTTAATAAGTTATCCCTCCAGAGGCTGCCAGAGCTGCTGAGCCCTCCCTCCTGTGTGCCTGTGACCTGCCCATCCCTGCTCCCTGTGAGTGTGTGCRGTACCTGCTGCGATGACAACGTCAGCTCTGACACCCAGCAGTTGATTTTCTGTCACTGAGCCCCAGTCAAGCTCAGCAACAATCACTTTTGGGTTTTGGCAGTTCTCTCCTTCCACCTCCTGTCCCTGGGACTCKGTTTGGAAGCTCCAGGTCACTCCWGGCTCCGAGATGAAGCCATTCAGCYGGAGGTTYTCTCCCAGCTGTCTGAGAACACGGGGGTGGCAGTCACTAAATATGAATGTCCTGGGCTGGCAGGTCTTGCAGATGGCAATTCCAGTGAAGCCAATCCCACTCCCTAATTCCAAGATTGTCCTGAAGGGTAACAGAGTAAAAAATACTATCAGGACTCTGCATTGAGCTGGAAACCAAAGCATTCKAAATGTAATTAAAGGTAAAATCAGTTCCAGATAATTACAATAATTTTTGAGTGAACCATCCACAATCTAACCTTTGTCCCAAGCAACTGGAGAGCTGGGAGYAACTGAGGAGGGAATTGTCAGCATAAAATTAATTAGCTGAACTGCTCATTTCTGTAAGGCACAAAGCATTCCCACCACAGGGATGAGAGACATCCCCACCTGGCTTTAGCCATCTGCAGCACAGTTGTCTCCACCTGAGCTGGCTCTCCAGCTTTCAGTCAGTGGAGAGAAAYAGACACTGYRCAGCACAGGTMCTTCCCCTGTGAGCTTCATTATTATTAAATGATCTTTCCTCAAAGTCCTTGTTCCTCCTGACTGCTTATAAATAACGTGGAGATGATGTGATCAGAGCTGCACATTGATCATCCAACGTATGTAATCCCAAGTGAATCCCATCACGGAGTGAAGGTCRTTAGTTAAATTACTGAAAATTGAACAGCTGACCTCACAGAGCAGGTCTGGCTGCACAGAACAARGGCTTGATTTTAAACCCTGTCTTGACAGGTCCTCTCCTGGGTTCAAGTTTGACTGTTTCAGAACAGACAAGAGCAGCAATTACTCAGCAGCAAAAGGGTGTCATTTCAGTTATTTTGGGTGTATAGTCTGTTATTAAATATTTATATTATTAAATTACAATCACTTAGCCCACAGTATCAGAGAGCAGGAGCCCTTCTGATCTGGAGCCAGCCTGAGAGAGCTGGGTGTATTGACATGGAGAAGGCTCCAGGGAGAGCTCAGAGCCCCTTCCAAGGCCTAAAGGGGCTCCAGGAGAGCTGGAGAGGGACTGGGGACAAGGGATGGAGGGACAGGAATAGGGAATGTCTTTACACTGGCAGAGGGCAGGGATGGATGGGATATTGGGGGGGGGGTGGGGAGGCCCTGGCACAGGGTGCCCAGAGAAGCTGTGGCTGCTCCTGGATCCCTGGCAGTGTCCAAGGCCAGGTTGGACGGGGTTTGGAACATTCTGGGATAGTGGAAGGTGTCCCTGCCCATGGCAGAACGTGGCACTGGATGGGCTTTAAGGTCCCTTCCAGCCCAAACTATCCCGTGATCCCACATGACTGAACAGAGCTTTGCCCAGCCCTGCACCCTGCTGCCCCCATACCTGTCCCTAAACACCCCAGGGTTGTCCAGTGCCCACTGGGCCAGATGCAGAGCAGCCTCCCATGTGACAAGTCCTGTGGTGCCCCCAGAGATCAGCGCTGTGCTCTCCTGGAGGCTCACACAGTCCCCTGTGGGCTGCAGGACACAAGAAGGCAAAGATSCATCAGCACAGACAATGCATTTAGAGTTCACAATCAACAGCAGCAGCACCTGGAAAAAGGCAGGAAGCTCTCCAGGCTTCTGGGTGGGTGTTTTTAAATTCGATTATGGCTTAGTTCGGGTGATTCAATGTGGTTTAGAACAGTGCAGAGTCAGTGTTTACCAGTAAGTAGTTTTTGTAACAGTGAGTAGATTCTTCTTCTTTTAAAATATCTGCCAGTGCATTGTAGAGTTCATCCAGGGGTTCAGCTGCTGTGGATTCGTGCTGTGAGAAGGAGAACAGGGCAGCTCTGGGTATCACATTGTCATGAAACAAAAAAACATTTGCACTTTAATCCCCATTTTTATACACTGTTGGCCAGAAYATCTGCACTGAATGCTGTGRTTTGTTATTAYATGAGGTATTTTCAAGGGAAAAAAKGAGTGAAAAATAAGMTGAAAAGCAAGARGTACCTTTTTGATGAGCTCAGTAAGGAAGCACCTCCTGTATTTGGCTGAAGGGGGATATTTCACACACAGAGGATGAAGAATTGTCTAAAATGAGAAGAGCCATGGACACCAATTACCCAGGGGAGGGTACAGGGAAGGCACTAAGGGGAAAAGGACCATTAATTGGCTCTGGTGCCAAGAAATGCATTGGGATTTAGTCTGTACAAGTGATGCTGAGCCAGAAATTGAAATTTGATTATTTCTGAATGGTTTGTGAGTTTACAGATCTGTGGCCACAAATTTCTTACTTTTTGTGGCAACAAAAACCTCACTTTTCAAAAGAGTAGAGAGAAAATGAAGTGGAAATAATCCAATTTACTCTCCTCTTTTGCTTTTCCGTTTTTCCTTTTTGGTTTGGTGCCTGGTTTGTGATCTCCCATCCCCAGGCAGAGTTTAGGCACCACCATTCCCTGTATCCCCGAATATCCAGGAGTGGCTGCAGTGTGCCATTTACCACATCCGCTCTGGCACGCGCGTTTTAACTTTGATTTAAGAACACCCAAATACCAGGCAGAGAAGGAAATCAGTAGTTCTGCAGGGCCCAACGAAACACTGCGACACCGGGTCACAGATCTTGGTATTTCTAAGCGATTCCAGTGGCTTTGGGCACCGCGCCTTGGTGACACGGGGGGTGACTCCGAGCTGTCCCTCACCTCGTGCAGAATATCCGCGAGAAGCGCGGAGTCCGGCGCAGTCCGCAGGCTTTGYTCGAGTTCCTAAACCAGGATAAATAAATAAATAAACAACGCAGCGGTGCCGCATCCCTCCCCGCCCGGCCGCCCCGTACCTGCCAGGGCAGCGAGCGGAGCGGCCGCGCAGCCAGGAAGCGGCGCTGGAAGMGCAGCGCCAGCCTCGGCCAAGACTCGCCCATGGCTCCGCAGCGCACGGCCGCGAGGGCCGCGAGTCCCCGGGCCCGCCCGCCGCAGCGCCCGGAGGAGGAGCCGCCCAGGAGGCGGAGCGGGACCGCCCGGCCGGGGCTCGAACCCGGGACTGTCGGAGACGGGGCTCGAACTCGCGGCCCCGGTGACACGGCCACTGCTGTCCCGCCTGAGCGGCCCGGGCCGGCAGAGGCCGCCATGGCCCCGCTTCGGACTGAGACTGACCCGGGCGGGGACACCGCGGGATCATGGGATCATAGGGATCAGTGGAACACAGGGATCACGAAACATTGGAATCATGGAAACATGGGATCAATGGGATCATGGAAACACTGGAATCATGGGATCATGGGACCATATAACAGCGTGGGTGGGAAGGGACGTTTAMGACCACCCAGTCCCAAAAACTGCCCTGTGCAGGGACATCTTCCACTATCCCAGGCTGCTCCAAGCCCCAATGTCAAACTGTCCTTGGACACTTCCAGGGATCCGGGGGCAGCCACAGCTTCTCTAAGAAATGCCAGGGCCTCCCCACCCTCACAGGAAAACAATTTCTTCCCAATATCCCATCCAACCCTGCTCCCTGGCAGCGGGAAGGCGTCGCCCCTTGTCTCATCTCTCCAGGCCCTTACAAATAGAGTTTCCCCATCTTTCCCTTCAGTTCCCTTCAGGCACTGGAAGAGGCCACAGTTAAGTCTGAGGTGTTTTTTTTCCTACGTTCCCGGTCCCTCATCATTTCCTCACGGCTGAGCCCCGCCAGCCCCGGGATCACCTTGACCGCCTCGCGTCACAGCCGCGCGCCGTGTGACGTCACTGCCGCGCGCCGCGGCGAAGGACAGGGCGCCCGAGCGGGGCCGAAGCGAACGGAACCGAACGGAACCGAACGGAACCGAACGGAACCGGAGCAGGGACCGGAGCAGGGACCGGGGAACCGGGCCGGGCCGCGGCGCCATGAGCGGCTCCCTGGGGGATGAGAAGCTGCGGGTGCAGCAGCTCCGCGCCCTGCGGCGCCGCTGGCTGCGGGACCAGGAGCTGAGCCCGCGGGAGCCCATCCTACCCCCGCAGAAGCTCGGGCCCGTGGCCGCCTTCTGGGAGGGCTTCCTGAGGCCCGGCGGGCTCTGGCGGCAGCAGGTGCGCGGCGGGACGCGGGTACCGTGTGGCCTTTCCCGCTGTCCGCTCCTGACCGTCCCTCTTCCCGCAGGTGCACAAGGCGTACCGGAGCGGCCGCTTCSTGATGCTGCGGGTGCTGCTCCCCGCCTGGGCCATCACTTACTACCTGAAGTACCACGTCCAGGTGAGTGCGGGGCCCGGGGGGCTGAAGGGAATGTCCGGGAACGGCCGGTGTAACGCTGGAAAAAGCCCAGGGCCGAGGGGATTGGGAATGATGTGAGGATTGATCTCACACCGGGTGTGTGAATGTGCTTCCGACAATCAGTTACAGGTTAAGGTTATTACCCATGGCCTGCTCACCACTTGCGTTTCCTCACTGGGGTAGCACTTATATATATATTTTTGGTGATATTTCATCATAAAGAATTACTCTTGTGAGACCTCTGTGCACCTACAGAACCACCTCTGGCCCTGGGGCCCAGCACAGGAAAGATGTGGAGCTGCTGGAGGGAGTCGAGAGGGGGCCACGGAGATGCTCCAAGTGGAGCCCCTCTGCTCTGGAGCCAGGCTGGGAGAGATAGGGGTGCTCACCTGGAGAAGAGAAGACTCCAAGGAGAGTTCAGAGCCTGTTCCAGGGCCTAAAGGGGCTCCAGGAGAGCTGGAGAGGGACTGGGGACAAGGGGTGGAGGGACAGGACAAGGAGGAATAGGTTCAAAGTGACAGAAAGTTTTAGATAAGATATTAGGAAGAAATTCTCCTCTGTGAGGGTGGGGAGGCCCTGGCACAGGGTGCCCAGAGAAGCTGTGGCTGCCCCTGGATCCCTGGCAGTGCCCAAGGCCAGGTTGGATTGGGCTTGGAGTACCCTGGGTTAGTGGAAGGTAGGCAGGGAGGTGGACCAGATGAACTTTAGTGYCCCCTCCAACCCAAACCATTCCATAATTCCATGATTTATGGCAGTGCCCAGTTTTGCCTGTGCTGCCTCCTGTGAGCAGAAAAGTTGTGTGTGAATTGTTCCTGTCCTGGAGGAACAGCCCTGGGAATAACCAGGGCAGCTGCTGGTGTGGGGAAGGGGAAGGAAGGGCCAGCCCTGCCCTCCAGGCAGGTGTGASCATTGTAACCTCGGGTATTTCTTTAATTAGTGACAGGTTTAATGAGCCTTGTACACAGCACAGCTTATGTTCTGGCAGGGCCATGGTGCTCCTTTTGGAGATCCTTTGTGCATCCTCCAAGTAAACACCCTTTACTTTACCTTCCCCTCTCTTCTCCCCCCACTTCCAGGAAYTGCCGCACGGTGTGGTTCTGACAAATCCACGGATACTCCCAGTAAGTCTCTTATACTTGTCTCATCTTCCACCTTTGCCACGCAGATGGGAAGGGATTTCTGGGGAGGTTTGTGCAGAGGAGTTTCTAGTGACAATTTTCCCAAGGGATATGCTGTGTCCTGTGGGTGGCCTGGCCCTGGAGCAGCACAGGGACCGTGGGTTTGGGTGCTTTGATCTCGTCCTCAGTCCCTGTTCCAGTGTTACCTCCTCTGTAGCACCTGAACCTGGCTGCTGCTGCCCATSCTGGGCAGAAAACAGAAACATTCCCTTTGCATTATTAACACATGGAATGACACAGGAGTGGATCTGCGTCTTCTTGCTGTCAGCACTGAGAATGTTGGTTCTGGTTTGGTCTCARTTGTCCCTGAAGGTCCCCCCCACACTTAAGTGTCCACAGAGTTGTGTCACCTCAGCTTAGGACAAGTTTGATGAAGCAGAGAGTGTCACATTGTTTGGTCTTTTCTGTTTTCAGGCTACCCTGAGCTGTTACTGATTGGTGTAACAAGTCACAGGGCAAATATTCCCACAGAAGATCAGCTCTGGCCTTTCTGACTGCTGCCCATTTTTGGCATAACCTCCTAAGTGTGCTTTATCTAAAATAAAATTATAAAATGTTCTGTTCCTAACAACCACAGAGCAACACACTGAAGGTCAAGCTGTTGGTCTCTGTCTTCAGCCTAATTTTTCAGTCACRTTAGGTCAGCTCAGCAGGCCAAGACAGTGCCTGGAGCTGGAACGAGCAGCCTTGGGAGAGCAGGTTGATTTTTGAGGGATTCCATGGCTTTCCATGGGCTCTGGACTGTGATGTTGGACTCACTGATCACTGCTGGTGAGGGTTATGAAATGCTAGAAGTCATTTTTAAAACARGACAGGCTCAAAATATGTGGCTGAAAAGAAGGGGTAAAACAAGTAGAGACTTCAGGTAATTGTGCTGTGATGTTATTCCAGCCTTCTGGAAATATTGGGAAAATGAGTGTTCTGAGTTGTGGTGAGATTTTGCCTCGGAGTGGGGACAGCTGCAGGTTCCCTGGAGGACTGGGATGTGCAGGAGGAGGCTGGATGCCAACAGRGAATGCTCATTATGCTCTCATCCCACAGGGGGACATGGTTTTAGAGACTGGAGAGGTCATGCCACCCCTTCCAGAAGATTCCCACCACCACTGATGGCCAGGAGCTGATTTCCTCCTGAGGTGAACACAGCAAGAGCTGCACCTGCTTTGTCTCTTATATAAAAGTGTCTTTATTCTGCTTTATTGCTTCAGTTCCTTTGTCATTTACTGTCTCCTTAGTCTGTGTCATTCCAGGTGCCCCTCATGTGGGAGTTTGTCATTGCTGGGTGCTGGGGATCTCTAACCCCCTTACTGACCTTTTAATGTGCCATGATGGACCTGGCAGCACTGTGGGTCTTGGGGTGACAGGACAGATGCTGTGGGTCCTGGGGGGATTTTGGAGCAGGCAGCTCCAAGGAAGGGTGTCACACTGAGCTCCCACACACACGTGGTTCTCCTCTCCCACCCTACCAAACCCTTTCTACCAGCCCATTCTGACAGACTTCCCGTGAAAACTTAGCTTCCTCCGATGTCATCCCACCTCTCTGCCTAGGCAGGGTGGCACAAGAGGCACTGCTGCCAAAAAATCCTTTTTGCTGCTCTTTCTTCTGCCTTCAGCCCTTTCTGAGGAGTTTTCCAGACCCCACATACCTGGGGCACTTTGTTCTGGGAAGATTGGTCTCATAATGAGCGGAGAACTGGAGCCAATGATCCCTGTGGATCCCTTCCAACTCAACATATTCTATGATTTGAAATGTTTTAGTAGCTAGTCTGGGGATAGGAATGGTTAAACCAGCAATCCAAAGGGTAACCTGGGGTGCTGTGACAGAATCCTCATGGAGCCATGAGAGACCAGCACAGCCCGTGTTTGTGATGTGCAGGTGACAGGCCAGAGCCCCTGTCCTGTGTTTGGGGACAGCCAGACCCCTCATAACAACTCTGGTAGGGACTTGAACCATCAGGGCCATGGCAAACACAGGGAAAACTGTCCAGCAGTTGGAGGAGATCAGGGAGGCTGTGGACCCCATGCCCAGGCCCTTGCCACACCCACACCCACATATCTCTCTTTCCTTGGGTAAGCYGTGGCTCAGGGTGGGACAGCAAGTGGGGAATGAAGTGGTGGGGCAGTAGGATCCTCTGTGTCATCACTGGGGAASGTTGGGGGTCACTGTGGGGGCTGCAGAGGGAGCAGGGGCTGTTGGGGAGCACTGGGAAGGTAGAGAGTGAAGGGAGACACTGGGGTGCATTTGGGACTTTTGAGGGGTGTCAGTGAAAATGGGGGGGTGGGGTTGGTAGCGGGGCTGAGACCTGTCCTTCCTGAGACCATGGGGATCCCTGTTCCTGTCACTACCTCTGCCCCAAGGTGTGCCCACTGTGAGCCCACCCCCCAGCCAGTGAGCTGGGGAGGCCTCCCCTCTCTGGGGTCCCCTGCCACCCCACCCCACTGAGGACAGACTGGTGGGGGTACCCCAAAACTCCAAAGTCCTCCTGCACTTCTGCAGTGCATGTAGGAACTGGGGACTCTGACATCTCTTGAGGACACCCCACACYCAGGAGGATGCCTGATATTCTCAAGACTCCCAGATTCCCTCAAGGAGGCCCTGATACTCCCAGGACTCTCAGATTCCCCTGAGGAAATGCTGACAACTCTCCTCCTCTAATGAGAATTGCACCAGGACTAGAGGGAATTCCTAGTACCACTAGGGTGCCGTGGACATTCCCACAACTCCAGTACCCCAAGAGACACCTCAGTCCCCCACATCCCTACGATGAGGGGCCCAGGGGACCATTCTAGGCCACAGACTCAATCACAAGGACAGGTGTGGGGCTCTGGGATCACCTGGGRGTTTTGGAACAGATAATCCTCCCTGACTAGAGGGGCTGGATACCTCAGSAGTGAGGGGTTTGAGTGTCACAACCACACCAAAAAACAACAGAGGCCATGGAACATGACCTGGCACAGCTGCAGCAGGACCATTCATGCCCATCCCCTCAGTTGTCTCYGTGCAGGTGATAGCACATGGCACTGGGTGAGCAGGAGGAACCACCTGCCTGSTGTCAGACCCCACACTACTGACAGMTGCTGRACCTCRGCAATGACCATGTGCYTCCACAAATACAGTCTTGATCTTCCCTGAGGGCTTCCTGTACCTCTCAAAGTCATCAAGTCCAATTTCCCTCACACTAAAAACATGGGTGGTACATTCTTTTGACAGTAAAAGCAAAACTCTTCTGGGTTTGTAYAATACTGTTCCCTCAAATGCCCTCAGAGTTGCACATAAAGACACGTACACACAGGGCTGCATCTTCTGCATAACTTTGAGATCCCTCGCAGCTAAAAACATATCACTGATCAGTCATAGATACACACAGAGTAGAGTCATAGAATAGTGTCATGGAATGGTTTGGGTTGGAAGGGACATTAAAGCTCATCTCATCCTACTCCCTGCCATGGGCAGGGTCACCTTCCACTATCCCAGGTTGTTCTGAGCCCCATCCAGCCTGGCCTTGGACACTTCCAGGGATCCAGGGGCAGCCACAGCTTCTCTGGGCACCCTGTGCCAGGGCCTCCCCACCCTTATACTACATACATACATTACATATTTAGCCAATGGTTACATTTTGTTGGACCTGCCTTGCTGCAAAAAGCCTTCCATTGCAACAGCTCAAGCATGAAGATCTCCTCCCAAACAGGTATTGGTTGATACGACTTTTTGTCCTTCCCCAGAGCCTCCTCATCCCTCAGGCTGCAAATGGGAGGTTGAGGGCAGGKACCAGGAGCGAGCCAGGGTGAAGCTGAGGTCGTACAGAGAGGTGAGTAGAGGTGGGGACAGATGGAAGGACTTATTCAAGCTTGGTGTCCTGAGACACGAGGACWGGAAGATCCTGGGATGTGGAACATGCAAACCTTTCCTACCTCTCACCTGATGTGCCTCAGGCAGGATCTGCTGGTTCCAGCACTGCCAGAACAGAAAGGGAGATCTCCCTGGGCATCCTCCAGTCGCTGCCAGCCSTGGGTGTGTGTCCCTGTGCTTGGCCAGCTGGGTCTGCTCCAGGCCACCTCCCATCCTTCAGGGGGATGGCACAGCAGYTCAGGATCAGTGCCAGGGAAGCCTACAGAGAGATCCAGAGCTGTGTCTGGGCTGACACACATCAATCCATGGCTGGTTGGATCTCACCTGTGTAAGTCCATGGGTGGGCAGAGCTGGCTGATGCTCTTCTCTATCGGATTTGGCAAGTGGAGGTGGGTGGGGGAGAATCTTTGCAGCCGGAGGAAAGCAAGGTTTGTATTGTCGTAAAAGGCTCAGGATGGCCCAGGCAGCCCAGGCAGCTCCAGGAAAAACCATGCAATGGTCATTTTAGGAGGCATGGAAGATGCAGAAGCTGGCGAAAAGCTCATGTGGAGTGACAGTGCTTGAAAATGGTTTCTGTAAYGAGGTTTGCATGGGGCAGAGCAGCAGTGACATTCCCCTCACTTTTAGCCAGGCTTTCTGCCACAGCACTCCTTCATTCCCAGAAATGCAGCTCACTGCAATATTGATGCCTCTGCTGCGTTGGCTGAATACTTATCCACTCTATAATCAATGACAGGGAATAGGAACTTGTCTGGAATAACTGGAGTCCTCTTTTCCCACTGGCCACTGCCAGTTATGGGCCTGTTTATCTAATTAACATTAGGGAACATGAATCCCAGTTCACTGAATTTCTGACAACCGAAGAGGGGTGGGGGTGTTCACCTGGAGAAGGGAAGGCTCCAGGGAGAGCTCAGAGCCCCTTCCARGGCCTAAAGGGGCTCCAGGAGAGCTGGAGAGGGACTGGGGACAAGGGATGGAGGGGCTGGACGTAGGGAATGGCTTCCCATTATCAGAGGGCAGGGATAGATGGGATATTGTGAAGGAATTGTTCCCTATGAGGGTGGGGAGGCCCTGGCACAGGGTTCTCAGAGAAGCTGTGGCTGCCCCTGGATCCCTGGAAGTGTCCAAGGCCAGGTTGGATGGGGCTTGGAGCAGCCTGGGACAGTGGAAGGTGTCCCTGCCCATGGCAGGGGATGGGATGAGAGGAGCTTTAATGTCCCTTCTAACCCAAACCATTCCATGACTCTGTGATTCCTAATAGAACATGTTGAATCACCCACTACTTGAAATCACTTTCTAACTGGTCAAAGTTTGCTTCATACATTTATTCTCCAAATAATGAGGGCCAGGCTGGTGACATAATTCCATCCAGGAATTCCCTGTTGTGCCAGAGCTTGGGTTTGTGCTGTGTGTGATGTTAAACCCACACAAGCTGCAGGGACTCCTCTGCTGYGCTCTCACAGTGTTCACACTCATGAATAATACTGAGCATAACAAAAGGGGCTGAGCCCAACTCCCCACACACAGGTGTGTTTCAGGTGCTTTGAGATGCCAGCTGTCCCTTGGTAASGCTGAAGAGATCAGGGATGAAGACATCCAGCAGGTTTCATGTGACCCGTGGGGCCAACATGGACACCTGAGGTGCCTCACTGCAGCCACTGAATGGTGTCCAGATACGTCCCTGAGTGCCCAAGCTCCTGCTCCAGCTAACACTCCATAGCTGGTGACAGATCTGACTGGAAATACCCACCCTGGTGGAGCCAGCAGATTCCAAGCCCAAATTCTTCCTCTCCYCACTGGATCCTGAGAGGTTTTGCCCTACAAGGGCAGCGCAGTCCCACCAGCCATGGTGAAATTCCTGGGGCTGTCCTGTGCAGGGCTAGGGGCTGGACTTGATGATACTGGTGGGTCCCTTCCAGCTCWGGATATTCACGATTCTRTGATTTTGGGGATACCTGCTCTGTGCTTTCCTCAGCCACCGGGGGAGTACCCAGTCCCCAATTTCCCCAGTCCAGGAATCCCACCTGTGAACTGCTCCTCTTCTGGCCCACTCTGAATAACAGAGGCAGAGCTGCTTCTGCAGTCTCTAGAAGATCAGCCTGCAAATAAATGTGATGATACGACTAGCAGTCACATCTTACAGAGAGATGAAGGAAAGCCCAAACTCTCCACCAGTTTTTGGTCTCTGCATTGTCCTACAGGTCTGCTGAACATTTGCCGTCTCAGTACCTCAACTGCCCACACAGAAAGCCTGCACTGCCCTTTGGGGAGGGTCAAACAGCCTAAAGAGAACATTTTCCCTGTTTAGCAGCTGCCCTGTCTCACTTAGCAGGAATTAATCC